AGGAAAAGCCGCGAGAACTATTGCAACGCCTAGAAAGGCCTTGAGTGTCTGAGGAGTCGAAAGAAACATGGTGTTGTAGTAGGCAGGATTATTATACAAGCGTGTGAAAAGAAAATCAGACGAAAATTATGTGACGACGATTCAAATGAAGAGAGTTCAAAACCAGAACAGTGCAAAGTATCTTTCGCACTATTAATGTTCTTCTTGTTCTTTCTTCACAAAAATTGGATTTAGCCGCCAATAGGCGTCTAAATTCGTCGAACAACAAGCAAAATTATTGAAATCATTCTTGTCGGAAATAAAAGAAGCTTTGTTTTTAGAAGTAGTATAATATTGCACGTTGAAAATGATTCCTCGATGGGAAAAATAAGTACGAGTACGTAAGCAAACTCCGCTAAAGGGTTATTCACTAGAGTTTATTCCCGACAACGTACCGGCACACTAATTTCGAACACACCTGAGCTGAGGTAAGTCAGCTGTTGCTCATTGTGAGGGAATAACACGTAAATCACGAGTAGATAGTGAGTGACAGCACTAAGCTCATCCACTCACTCTTTATTGTTAAACCACGTATTATCGTACACTAAAGAGCATACTACCATTTCGCAGGTTATGAGCAACAACGAACATACCTCAGCTCATCACCATCATCAGAACTAACAACCATTCGAAATGTATGTACCGTATGCTCTTTAGTGTCGTACGAGTTTTCAATAAAGAGTGAGTTTGTGGAATTTACGTGAATTAYGTATGTCAGGCTCTCAGTCTCATCCTCATAACTTCATGTATCCCCCCTTTTTTCTGCAATGTAGGTAACAAGATTGCAATCCAAATAAGCACGTCTTCTTCCTCTTTTGCTATTGACAGTTCCAGAAAGATTGAGCAGAGGGTGGTGGCGGAAGGATGCACCAGTACTACTACTATTGTGAAACCAAAATCTCTCCATTCTTGTTCTTCTTCTTGTTGTCTACTACATCAGCAGCAGCACCACCAGCTGAATTGGCTGTGGCTCATATCAGCACCAGGTGGAGGTTGTTCATGGTAGAATACTACTACTAGTAGTAGGAGGTGGAGGAGGAGAACAACAAAAAGGAAATGGCACGAATTCTGAGGTCCAAACTAGGACTACTAGTATTATATATGCTGCCTTCTTGTCCTGCAATAACAGTTGGTGTTTGAAGTGATTTCCTTCACAATGTCATATCCCTACTAGTGATAACTTGGGGGCAAGCCAACAGGAGGGTGCAAAGACCTTGTCTCCTTTTTCACCCCACAAGAAAAAGGGAGCTGTTCCATGGGACCAGGAAGCTTAGTTGTTTTCAAAGTAGTCTGCAACTGTTACTACTTGTAATAGCTCAGAGATCATCAGGGTGCAAGACAACTTAACCTGCTAGGTTTGCAAAGTTCTACTAGTAGTACTGCAATAGTAGAGGGCAGAGCATAGCCAGCCAGAGAGTATTCAAGTGTTTAACGCACAGAATGCTATGGACAAAATATGGTCACATTAGTTGATGYACAAGCATATCGTTCAAGCCGCWRCCATTCCTTTATGCCTACTGCTACATCATTTTCATTGTGAATCATAAGCTCTTCTGTAGAAATASTGTCCACTTTTCTCCATGTCATCATTTCAAATTTCTCTATGTAAGTTTTACATGACTCCTTRAAAGCAAGAATGGTCACCGTTTATTCGTTTTTTTCATCAAGTTTTCGCAATTGATATTCTTTGATACATTTTCACTCAATGCTCCATTTCATTCGGTGGTTGGACTCAGTGATTTTCTAGAATTGTTGTTTCGTCCGTTTGATTTATACCACCGTGAGATCTACCACTCATTCACATCCCCGTCATCACTGTCGTAGTCCTGGGTAGGAGGGGGTCTTCGCTTTCCTTGCGCTTCGTTTACTCGGATGAATCGTCCATCAAGTTCTAGGCCGTCAAGTTCTGCGATGGCGATCTCACCATCTTGTTGATCCATAGTAATGAAACCAAATCCACGTGGTTGGTCTGTGTTGGGATCAGTTGGTAGGTAGCAATCGTAGACTTCTCCGAATTCTTCGAAAACACCTTCGAGGGTTTCTCGGGTTGTGTAGAATGAGAGATTTCCAACATAAAGTTTAAATTGTTTAGCTCGAGGAGCGCGARGGGGGAGGGATTCTCCCTTTTTCAGGGGTTCATTGACAACAAGGGGACGGCCCATGAAGTCGGCGCCATTGAGTTCTGCCATKGCCTTGTCGGCAGCTTCCGTATCCATAGTTACAAAGCAGAATCCTCTGGATTGATTGTCCCTGAGAGGGATATACAAATCTTGAACATCTCCGAACTGTGAGAAGTGCTCTTTGATCTGGTCGTATTCCGACTCGAATGGAAGGTTTCCAACGTAGAGCTTCTTTTGGCCTGTRGAAAAGTTGTTGGATTTGGGATGCATTCATTATTCCGAATACGAATTTGTACATTTTTGTGGTTTCAAGATTTTTCAGTTGATCGTTGCGAAAAAATTCATCCAAGTCAACACGCAATTGAGATGAAATGGGAAAGTTGAGAGGAATGTGGGARAATCATGGTGAGCGATTTTTTCGCGTTCAAACAACTGCATCCATTGATCCCACCAAGATTAGTGATCCGGATGCTTCATGGAGTCCTCAATCTGWTTTCAATTGATTACGTACCATCGGGAGTAAAATTCTTACCACGATTGTTCTGTTTTTGGACTTCTTCCTTAGGAAGCAATTTGTTGACACGCATAGGGCGTCCACCCATATCCATCTGATTGAAGGCATCGACAGCSGTAGTGATCATTTCATCGGAKGCAACATCAACAAAGCAGAATCCCTTCGATGTTGGCATACCAGTGAATTCGTCGACTCTCTCGTTGTTCATCGGCATGGCGACATTGAKGACAGAAATTCCCTTCTCTGTGAAAAGGTCGGAAATTTGTTCTCGAGTGGATGAAAAGGGGAGGTTTCCAACRTAGACTGTGTGCTTTTCAGGCTCACTGACAGCWGATGATTCGTCGCTCATCATCAARGAAAAASGCGAGTTCGAGACACCAACGGCAGATCGTGCGGCGGGAGGCAAAGAAAAGGCAGACGTCGTCTTCATCATGGTGGCCGCAGTGGCCATTAGGCCGAAGAATGCTGTTTGCGTGAACTTCATTATCTACAAAATTAGTTACTGAGTAGCAATATGAGTCTACCTGTATTTCTAAAACCAACTGCTGTTCAATTTTGATTTAACATTCCATTGAAAATTGTCGATGCTTTCACGTCGACGAAGATGGTTTGTACGGTTCGTACCGGCCGGACGTATTTGACTCTAGAGTGGTGATGTGTTCCCTTCCAAAGATCTAGTACTTCCAGTAAGAAAATTAAGGTTGACGGATATGCGTACGTATTCGACAAGTGGAAGTATGATTCAACACCATWAAGTCCTAGTTTTTGAGTGGTCAGTAACCACGCGACGACAAAATCCGAGTTGAAAATATGAATAGCTTTTTTTAGGCTAATTTTGAAGCGGTCAAGCTAATTCATAACCAGTGTCGACTTGGTCTAGGGGCATGATTCTTCCTTAGGGTGGAAGAGGTCCCGGGTTCGATTCCCGGAGTCGACCGACTCTGTTTTTGGTTTGTTTTGCATCCCCACAGACAGGTTTTGGTTTTTGTTTACACAGCACATACTTCCTTCYTTTCTCAGGACAAAGCAATGGTATGCTGTGCTGTTCTATTTCAAGGAAGAGAAGAGTATGGAAATTTGAAGCATGATTTTATAACTTTGAGTAATGGAGAAATCAAGGTTTGGAAGAAACTTTTTCTTCATGTTTACACTAGTACTAGTACTGGTGGTGGGACCAGCAGTAATAGTACTAGAACTTCTTGGAACCATTATCAATGAATCAAAAACTGATTAGATGTGTTGGATCCTTGTAGAAAGTAGGCRTGCCATATGAGTTCCAACCTTGGTGTTGCATCCCGTTTGGAGATCATTGCTTCTAATGATTCATATTGAGTACCGAGGACGCAAGAACAACTTAGACATGATCTCATACAAGGTTTCCGCATTCCCAGTCGTTGGCTCCGGTAGTTTGAATCGAGATGCATAACATAAGTCCTACTGTATTTAGTATYTTTGATTGTTTTCGATCTGACAAAACATATTCTTGCCGAAAAAAATTCTCTTTATCTAAGCTTATCGTGGTGTCGAACACTTCAAAAAAACTTAATCCATATTAGGTGAACCAAGCAGCTACTAGTAGTAGTACTAAGAGTGCATTTTACTGGTGGGTGTCAACGCAATTGCAGCGTAGTATGAGATGTGCGTGCAAATGCAATGCAATTTCTTTATGAAGGACACACAATCTGCATAGCAGATTTAAAAATAAAACTCAGCACATTTGAGATTCGCCGTGATAGCTTGTTGTATCTTGATACCTGGGAAAAATTGAATCTTTGTTTVAAATGAATGTTCAGCGGTAAGACAGATTAAATTCGCTTCCACAAGGCGAGGCCCCCACCTCCACCTCTCGCCGTGGCTATTTGATCGTCGGCACTGATCCAATTGAAAAAGGCCCGCTTTCCTTGTTTTTCCAGTTCGACGTTGTTCGCCGATCCAAGCCCCGACTTGGCCCCCAGATCGGCCGCTTGGCCCTTTTTGAGGGGAATGTCAAAAAATCCATTGAAGAGTTGGATGCTAGTGAAATCAAATGTTAGTTTTGTCAGGCCTGATTTTTCTGAAAGGTTCCAATCAAAGTCTCCCTGGAATTTGATCAACTCAAGATCTCCTACGGCGATTCCGTTTTGGATGACCCACTCCTCCTGTGTTGTGCTGTCAAAGGATTGGGTCGCTTTCAGTGGAAAATAGTTAATTTTTGTTCCACCAAGCTTTCGCTGTGTGTCGACCGTTCCAGTGGTAAAGATCAGACGCCAATTCACGCCTCCCTCCGACAAGGCCTTTAGGGTATTTTCCGACTGCGACGGATCGGCCTTGTTGGCCTTGCGAGAAAGTTTTTCGAGGTCCAACAGGGCATCCACGACGGTGTCCGGATCTTCTTGTTTGGTTTCGGCGGCACGATAAAGAATCTGCTTTGMTGCTTCCATTTGATCAAGAATATGTTCCTGGCTATCGGTTTCGGCGGTTTCCCCCGCAGCGAAGTAGCTCCTGCTCCTACGGCATGGTTGTGGAGCGTTGACAAAAAATGCTTCTACCAAAACCAAAGGAGAGAAAAGAGCGAGCACTAAGAAAAGGAAGGTATTCATKGTGGATAAAGATACGAATTMTAGTTGACTGCTTTATGTGAGCAAGAGTTGCTCCTATTGATAGCAAACTCGAACGCAAGCAAGAACTCGTACTGTACATCTGATGAGATCTGTTTTGTTGAACGATGAGAGGTATCTTTTTTCGAGCGAATGCGTTGTTTCGAAACGTTGCTCTTTTTGGTTGCGCTGTCGTGTTAAGAAAACAGTCCCAATCTTTTCTGATAGTTTGATTAAAGTACGTACGTACCGGTACGTACTCCTACGTTCCCATACCACAAACATACTCTCACGAAATTGATTTTTCCGAGATATCGTACCGTATGGTAGGTTTCCTTACCCTATGTACGGTACCCCAGTACGTACAGTAAAATACAGTAATGATTGTGATTATTCGTGAGGGTCAAAATCTCCGAAAACCCCAAACTTGAACCTTAAATAGATACCGATTGGGTTGGTGCGAGAAGCTTGTGCTTTCATCTTGTGAAGTGCTGATGAGAAGCTCCTAGGCCTCCTTCGGTAAGAGAACACATAGTCCGGTATGGTACGTAACAATARTTATTATGTAATTCTATATCCTTCGTGAGAAGCAAGTGTTTCATGAGAAGCTTTTATGGTCCTAATTTTGTGCGATCGTTATCATCAGCAATAGGTCTCACCATCTTTCTACGTCATCTAAGTCGTTCGAACTGCGAAGCAATCTTGTGCTTCGAAAATAYGATCTTTTTCTAACCCATGGTTTGTTCTCACAATTTCAAAAACACTTCTTTGACTCACAAGCTCAAGAAATATCACTATCAAACCTTTACAATTTTMCGAAATAATCATCTACCATTTTCACCATGAAGACTTCTATCGCATTCCTTTCTTTTGCCGCCGCATCGGTYCAGGGTACTTCTCTTCGCGCTGCCGCCAATAACAACAATGGCAAGGTCCTTGACAGCGAAGTGATCCTCAAGGGAACGGTTGGCGAGCCTACAGCCGAAGACATGGAATTCATTGGAAAGGCATTTGTTGCTTCCTACAACAATGTCCATTGGCAAGTTGGCCACTACATGACTGGAAGCCATGCGGTCGATTTCAAGGGACCAGACAGCTTTTTGTGCCGCCACTGCCCCGACGACGATGCCATGGGAGGTGCTGCTTCTGCCACCAGTGTCTTTGAGGTGAAGACCCCTGTCGGTTTCTTGTGCCGCCACTGCCCCGATGATGATGCGATGGGCACCGATTCTCTCTTGATGACCGCCATCTCCCAGGACTGTGCTGGGTTGTGCCAGAAGGAAGCTGCCGCCGAACTCGAGGTTGACTTCTGCAACAAGATTCGATCCGCCCAAAACTCCAAGTACCTCAGCTCTGCCAAGTCGTGCGCCATTCGATTTGACATTGAAGAGAAATCTAGTAACAACAAGCGTGTTTCTTCTGCTACCAATAAAGTTGCAACCGTTGACTCCACTATTATCCTGAAGGGTGTCGGTACCGGCGATGCTACCAAAGAGGAACAAGCTATCCTCGCAAAGGCCTTTGTCTCTGCCTATAACGATGTTCACTGGGGAGCCAACCACTACTTGACCGATGCCGAGATCCCATTTACCGCTGCTACTGGAAGTCCTGAGGGATTCTTGTGCCGTCACTGCCCTGATGACGACTCCATGGGTGGAGCCCAGCAGACCAACACCTTGGTATTGGATATCGTCAGCCCCGTCGAAGCTTTCTTGTGCCGCCACTGTCCCGATGACGATGCCATGGGAAGTCAATTCGATATCCAATCTCTCAACTCGAACCCCTTTGACAAAAAGGCCATCGAAGTTGCCTTTTGCAAGAAGATCCAGAACTCCGTCAGCGACAAGTTGGCGGCTACCAAGTCTTGCTCTATTGCGGTCGAATCCGTCATTGCTGCAGCCTCCAACACCAAGAAATGGTAAATTGCAAACTAAAGTGAATGGTGCAAATGAAAACAAACGACACGAACGAATCTAATCAAAATACATGAAAAATCGTCATGGTTATGTGACTGAGAACAACAAGGACAACAATTAGAACAAGAGGAACTAAAAGGCACCATCAAGCTAGATTCGTTCCGAAAATACATATTACAAAATCTTTAAATTAGATAATCAGAACTTACATATCATCAAAATCATGGACCGAAACTGTTTCAAGTTTRTATGAAATCGTTCGACGCGAAAACACTACAATGGTCAATTATCCGTTCATTGACCTTGTGATGATGCTTTGTTTCATCCTGTTGTATACCCTACGGTACATGAAAGTTCTTCGAGTATTGATTCGTTTGATTAATCTCTGAACTGCAGCTTTTGCACGAACTGCAAACAATCCCTGAATAATTTTATCATCCATGCCTAGACGAGAAAAGAAGAAATGACCCACMATTTATTCTTTCCCGTCTTATGTTTTCCTTTTCGGCTCCCTCGCGACCCTTGTTGGTCAAGAATCGCTCCGTCCGGCGGATTGTTGTATATTCTACATATGGCACCGAATGTGTTGAATTGGACGAACATTGGATATTTACGCAGAGCTATTGATCCATTTCCAATACTCTTCAAGCCGCTATGTAAATATCAGCGATATGATCCCTCCCCAAATTGAACCTTGWACTTGCCAAAAATCGGCTTCACAATTTATATTCTGCACATCTTTGTTCTCGTTCCTTTTTTTGATAGACCAAGGAAAGAATGCTGTTATGGGTTTTGTTTCTCTCCTTTCATCGGGAGTGTGTCGTAGTCGATGATGGAGACGGCGGTGTATTATTTGCGTCGAGTCCGATGATGAGATGAAACTGTACGACTACAAACTCGAAGCATACGGTAGGTGAAATAATGAAAACGGTTGAAAGTTGTCGTTCTTGTTCTAACGTCGTGAAGACTGCCGATGGATCTTCTGCTACGAAGAAGTACTGTACCTACTACAGTGGACGACCAACTTGATCATACTCGTACCGTTACGAGTACGAGTACGACACGATGTTTGTTACGAGTACAGTATCGTACTCGTCCCTATTTACTTCAAGGTCTCTWTGCGAACAACAGGCAGAGCAAGATTTTTGATTCGTGACAGAAAATCTGCAACGTTGCAACACGAATGACATTAAAGTATTCGCTTCTCATCGGAGTCTCCCATCAGAGTGCGCTGGGTGGGTGAATTTAATTTAAATTTTTTTAATAAAAAGGTGTCAGGACATACCGTAGGACATACGGATAAAAACTGAATGAGAAGAAAGGTTTCCTCTCAAGACAGACGGACACAACCCAAAACAAAAAGGAGGACAATTGCACCGTTGYGTCACTCATACAGCAACAATACTATCGAAACCAAATTGCATTTTCCACTATGGTCACAATTACACCTGTAGACGACAATAACAAGGACGTCTTTTCGCTAGAATCCTTGGTGGGCGAAAAGCTCCTGAAGGACGTGAAGGGAAATGCCGTGCCCACGGAGGATGCATTCAAATCATCCAATGCGAGCCTTATTGGACTTTATTTCTCTGCATCTTGGTGTCCGCCATGCCAGCGATTCACCCCGATCCTCACCGAATTCTACAAAGCTGCGAAGGCATCGAACAGTGGACTRGAAATTGTCTTCATCAGTTCGGACCGAAGCAGAGAAGAATTCGATGGATATGTAAGTAAACASAATAATATCTTTGATAAGTAATGATAGAAGACAAGGATCGACGAGCACGTCATTCGATAGTCTCGCTAACGAATTATTWTACTGCATTTTAAATTTGATACGAACGACTTGGAATGGCGAAACGCAGTTCGAAAAAATGCCYTGGTTGGCCATTCCATCGGTGGACGGATCGGCTGAGATCAAGCAAAATCTCTCCAATATGCTCCAAGTTACCGGCATTCCCTCCATTGCCATTCTCGATGCCAAGACCGGAGAGTTCATCTCGGGGGGTGAGGCCCGCGATGATGTCATGAAAGCCAACGGGGACGCAGCAGAAATCGCTGCCACAGTACAAAAATGGAAGGACGCGGAACGGCATCCCATCTCGGAAGCCCCGCGATTGATGGAACTCGGAGACATGGGACGTAACCCCCTATTTAAATTCCTCTCGTTTTTGGCCAAGAATCCCATGATCATTTTCGGTCTTATCTATTTTTACAAATGGATTCAAAACAGGATGATCGCAATGGGATTCGATGACAGCGACGCAACAACGGAGCCAGTGGTAGAGGTTTCATCAGAAGACACTGAATTTTGAGTTGAGCAGTAGCTTCCTTGACAGCGCGTCGCTACCACCAGAGAAATCGGTTTACAATACACCCTCCTAACAATTAATTATATATAGTCATATCCAAGGAAACCATCAGATGATGAAGGGCAAGAATTTCAAGTCTTTGGTTGAAATGGGATTTCAAATCTTTTTATGTCTTTCGACATCCGTAAGAACAATATTCGTGGATCTGCAGTTGTGCTTCCTTTTTGGTGCACGGGCACTTCAAATATGCCTGCCAATATTATGCAGCCAGAGCTAGTTAATTGTTTATTTCTCAAATGACTGAAGAKTGGGTGATAACTCCTCAAAGGAGCACAGCCACAAATAAAATATTCCGACATTGGAATGGAACATGAAAGAACCTAATGGTTTGTTTTACTGCTTCTAGAGGTGCATACACCTCACTTACAGATGATAGACCCATCACTAGAAATCTTTATTAAGGATCGGGCGCCTTTGTTGTTCATCCCAATGTTTATAGGGATTCTCGAAAGAGCCGCGCCCGAAAGCAGCACAATCACAAAAAATATTTGAAGCGCTGCAGGCATAGCTTGTTGTTGGTGCAACAATTGGTAGTATATGTCTCCCCAAATCCAAACATGCAAAGATATGATCTCAAAAGCTTTCTCCAGGTATGCCTTGTACATTGCTTAGGGCACCCAGCAGTACCTACCAAAGGCTCTCCTCCGAGGAATTCATTCTCAAAGCCCGTGATTATTAGATCTRGGAGGAGAGCCCATAGTTTGAAAACAATGAATAGAGAATTAGACAGAGAACACTTTATTTTACTCAAACTTTCCCCAATTTGACCAYCTCAACAATCAAAACCAATGCTGAGCAGAATTGATGAATATATGTATTGTTTAGAGCACCAAGCAGGACCAATGAGTGGCTTGCTGCCATCGCTGAACTATTCAGAAAGACAGATGAGTACATGCTCAGATGACCTGAATCTTGCCTTCATGCTCCTGTTGAACAAATATATTTGGATGTAGTTGCAATGGGCAAGAATTAGAGCTCTGTTGATGGGTATTCTGCTGCTGGGAAAGCTACTCATATTGAACTCTCAATAATTAGTGGCAAAAGGTCAGCAAAATCATCCTCTCAAATTGTACATGTACGCAATATGTGAGAGAAGAAGAAGRTACATGGAATTGTTCAAGAATTATATGATGTACTGGTACATTTAAYCAACCTGATACAAATGGAAACAAAAGATCTGTTCATCACCAATCAAAATCTTTCTTGCTTGTTCTTTTTGTTGTTTTTTATTTAAGCTCATGGTGGCTACTGTTTGTACTGTAGATAAGAAGTACAGAATGACATTGATGTAGTAATGATATTCCTGGACATACTACTACTACTACTAGTACTACTACCCTGCAGGTGGCACTTCTAGTATTGTGAGAGTTACTCTGCTGATTYGCAACCATGATATCACAGAATTTCCTTAATTGTATGGATTCCTCCATCCATGCTGCAAAACCATAGATATGTGTTATTGGTGTGAGGATAACCTAGCAGGAGGGAGAGGAGAACAACCAGCTGATTCTTCATAATATTCCCCACTACAAGGATATATCACTGTTAACAGGCATGATGTAGTGGTACTGCTGGTGCTGAACATTGTGGTGACATCCATACTACTAGTGCCAGTACTAGTGCATCTGAAGATACTTAATGTTTGGTATTGTTTGTTTCTTGTGGAGAAGTCTTAGTAGTAGTAAATCTAGCAGCAAGAACAGCTCCTGATGACAATCCATCAAAACTAGTATTAGTTCTAGTACTACTAGGCAGGTCTACCAAGTTGGTGGCCTAGTTTGTTGAGAAAGTACTATTCCATTTTCATTTATTGTAGTGTCCTGTTGCTTCTTGCTTGGTGGTGATCATCACTCAAGCTGGATAATCTCCTCATTTCTGCCAGTGTCCTTCTTGACTTGAACAATGCAAGAGACCTTGATGTTTCTGTTGTAAGTATTACAAGAACAATCAGGCAGGTCTCCAAAAAAGAAGAAAATTTTACTATGGAGTTGATAGGAGAGCACAAGCCAGTGCTGGTATGGCTGCTGGAGCAATAATGTTAATTCAGATGCACTTGCATCTGGCTTCTTGCTTCCTTCTTCTTGCAATACAGATACAACTCACATTAGAGGATAGAAGTCCAGCAGATGACAAATTCATTGATATTATGAGTGATGTTCTAAAATTGCAGGCAGAGTGGCAAAGTAGTAGTGCCAGTCTAGTAGTAGTCCTTCTTTTATCTTGTTGGTACTAGTGCTGATATGGTACTGCMAAATGAATATACTATCATGCTTTACTATCATGCTTTCTATGCCTTATTGATTGAGTATTTACAACAAGAAGAGCTTAGTAGTGGAAGATTGTGAGAACTGAAAATGAGGAAGTTTAAACAAGAAAGGAAAGTAATAATTTTCAATTTTCCTGATTACACACCACCAGCCAATGTGTGGTAGAATGGGTATTCTTGGACTTACAATTGATGGCTTGAACTTCTTGAGTTTGATAAGTTTAAAACAGAGCTTGAACTATTATTCTTTGTAGTATGTGGTGAAAACATACTCCTCTAGTACTAGTTGAGTCTTGCTGTGATTTWACTATTGAGGATGTCCCACCAAAAATTGGTGTTATTGTGTCACATGGTTCAGATAAGAAGGACAACAATTTATTTTTGCACCTACCAGGTAGTATTTGGCCTGGTTGAGAAAGCACTCATGATCTTTACAACTCAAAAAGAGTTGTTGTTGTTATTCTGTTAAATTGTAACCAGCAAGTGATTGCACTCAATTGAATGGTGAAATGAAGAAGATTGAATTGGAACAACTCATGGTGGATCTGGTATCCTTCAATATTACTATGCTATGCTGGTGACTCTGTCACAAATGCAAATWATATTAAGAATAGATGACATCACAAGATCATACCAGTACCATCAATTCTACTATCTACTAGCAGTAGTAAAATGGGTGTGATTCACTTCTGGTAATATAAAATTTCAATAAGCATTGACTTGATTAATGAATTATGGTGATCTTACTAATGACAAACCACCAAATTTCTTGGGCATGGGTATTATCCAACCCAGCAGAATGCGCTACTAGTACTACTTGTACTACTATTTTGATGCATTCATAAACTGAAACTGAATATTGTTGTTGTTGTTGTTGTTGTTGTACAAGCAGCACATGCTGGTATTGATACAGCAGTTGAATTTGTCAGAATCTAGTAGGGAGTTAAAATAGTACTCAGCATTAAATTTGCAAGTATGCAGTTTGCACATATGACTACAGATAGTAGGAGGCATTGATTGGACTGAAAAAGGATGACTTTGATCACAGGAGAGCCAATAAATGCAAGAATTTTGATTTTTGGCAATTGCTTTACTACTAGAGACACAACTAGTACTGACAATCAGCTTTTAAATGTGGTACTAGTAGTACTAGTACTGGTCAGCCACCAGCTCTGTACTAGTATTGAAAAAATCTGTTTCTACAGAAGCTACTAAAAAAGAAGAACAACATGGATCAGCAGTGATAACAGAGATCTGGCTCCAATCTACTACTGTTCCTAGAATTGACTGTTGATGTAACATCATTAGTAACAATCACATAGCAGTCATTCTAGTAGCACCAAAAACACTGCTGGTGCTGGTGATTATTTGGGCTTGTTCTGGATAACAGGAATTCACTTATACTGGTTTGGACTCCAAGAAGAAAAAGAATCAGGTTATAACTACTAGTAGTAGTTATAACCTGCTACCACTGTATCATTTACTACTACTACTCCTACCAATACCTGCCCCCGCCCTCTGCTTCTAGTAGCTCAGAATTGAATGAATACTACTAGTAGTACTGGTGGTAGCTGAATAAGGATTCCTGAATTATGTTGCTGATGGTCTCCATGTCAATGGTGGTTGATTGCCATTAATACCCCTCCTCAAAGAGCTCCTCTTCACTTTAAAGAGGCCAGAATTGACACAGCAAACAAATGATATGATGTATTACTGTCACCAACATCACATCTCGACCTCTCCTGTAGTAGTGGTGCTAGTAGGTTGTTTCAATGGTGTATCCCTTTTACTATCTCCTGAAGCAATCTTATTAGTAAGTGACAACCAATTTCAGAATCAAACAGGGGAGCAATGGTGTCATGCTGCAGTACTACTACTAGTACTGCTACTAGTAGTAGTAGTAGTGATGGCAATGTGCAATTTACCCCCTCCTCCTCACCATTGGATGGTGGACTCCTGTCATGATATGTTTTGAAGAAAGAACATTCTATGTTTTGCTAGAACAACTGTATTATCTGGTGAGTTAGAATTTGTCTTCTCAATGCTGGCGGCAAGGATATTCCACGTTAGGTGCTCATCAACGAATTCTTGCCGGACTTGCTGTAAAAGCACAAGGATCTGAAATAGAATATCCTAGTACTACTATATCCCATTTCACCCTGTTGGATTGTTGTTGCTGGTGGTCACATTAGAGTAGGTCAATAGCTACTACAAGGTAGAAGCATTGGAAGGTGATGTTTCAATGTTTGTTCTTATGATTCTTTTTGCTACTAGTACTAGTACAATATAGTATTGTACCCACTGCCATTAATTTTAACTACTAATATGATGCTAGAAGACAGACAAGTACAACTACTAGACAAATGTCAAGAAATAATAGTACAGTGAATGGGTAAAAATGATTTTGAAACAGCATAAAATACAATAGGCTAAAAAGATTGGTATTTGATATTCTTCACTTTGGCCCACTTTCAGTATACAGGAATCCAATTTAGCATCATGCTATTGTGTTTGTGTAGAAAAATTGACTGAAATCTTTTGAACAAAACCAAATTCCTYATTWTTTAAGGTTGTCRTTGAAATTTACGAAGATAAAGAACTGTACTATCACCACAGCACTCGCCATTGCAATYGGMGGAACCCTTGGCAACCAAGTACTTTACTAGATAAAATAGCAGGTCTCGCACATGAAGATTCAAACGACCAAAGCCATCRTAAGTGAGTATAAATTTCAAAACTTAATGGAGTTTTACRTTYTTTTGGACAAATGTCAAAATTTCGTTCGCTAAGGCCTCGGGCTGCTCGTGTTGAGGATAATGATGGCATTCATCTAGTTCTGTCGTCTCSACAATGGGTTGTCGTTCTTGCTCTGATGTCTTGTTCATAGTATCAAGTTTTTGCTGAATTGAGTCTTTCTGTTCAGCAGGAAGAGGTGTATAAGTATCCTGTTTCCCCCAAACAAATAGCATTGGGAACGGAGCTGACGGCGTGTTTATCAATTCATCTACTAATTCTTCATATGGAGCTTCTTTGGCCATCACTGTTTCTACCAGCGCATCGTGAAAATTTGGAAGTCTMGTGGGTGCCGCAAATTTTTCGACGAAGTCGTCGGTCAGAACTCGCTCAGCATGCGCTGGGAGGTGCATYCTTTCCAAACTCTGCTTGCGATTGGCCATCATTTTCTTGGTCATCCAGCGRAACAAAGGCTTGAGCCAGCTTTTGGAAAAAAAATCTGATTTTGGACGGAACAGCGCACATGCCATAAACACAGCCCCCACGACCGCGGTTTTCCCGCTCTCATTACTTTGTTGTTGGCTCGCGGTTGCGGCGCCKACCACTGTTCCTGAGCTGTGCCCTACAATCACAACGTTYGACAAGCTTAGAACGGAGATGAATTCTGAAACAACCTTACCCTGGTTTCGGTAGGCATAATCAAAGTCGTCTCCAATAGGTTTGTCCGAGAATCCGCTACCAACCATATCTATGGCTACAACTCGTACCGCAACCTCGYTTTCATTAGTTGTGCTGTTGCTTTTAACGAGATATGGAGTCAATAACTCCCAAGTTTCGACACARCCAGCAAAGCCGTGGAGCAATACGAAAGTTACTTGCTCAGAGCTGCTTTCACCAGAGTCTTTCTCGGTGACTTGTTCCTCTTGGGTATCAGTGTAGCGCAAGGTGACTCCCGATTTGGGGAGTATCGCGAATTTCGAACCAATTGGTGCAACAGGAAGCGGTATCGGCTTGTCGTTTTGGGAAWTATCCGGTTTTCGAGAGATTGCGGTTGACGCAAAAACGACTGCAGCTCCGGCCGCTGCAATCGCAAGCGTGCTAAGTGCCAATGAAGTGTTTTCGCGGGCGATTGTTGYCAAGGTCTCGTTGTTCATCTTCTTCCTTCGTCTACTATTGTGGTATGAATCGTGCGATGTTGTCGATTCTAATTGGAAATTTTATGGGATAAATGTATTTAATAGACGTCWGATAAAAATGCTTGATCCGAATGGAGTAAGCCTCTTTTCTTTTCTCAATACTTCGCGGTATGAATTACAGGTCCTCTCATACGGAACGAGTTCTGTACAAAAATTATCGGATTTTGTTTCTGATCTGTTTTGGGCTTGCGTCAGTGCACGATTCAAATTTTGAATCGCCCCTCCTCCCCAAAGATTCTCAACTTCCAAGGATGAGGAGCGCAATCTCTCTTCCATGCGCTATGCTTCTTCTTTCTTCTCAAGAATAATGCATACCGTAGGAAGTGTCGGGCTATTGAAAAAAGAATTAAGTTCTCTTGAACCTTGCACATGAAAAGAGAGATTTTAGGACTATTCCATAGAGTATTCATGTGGCTTAGCAGCATAAATCCCTTGTTAAAATTTTAATTTTAACCGTAAAGTTTGATGGTGTTGAGAGAGGATGGCGGTAGATTGAGAAAAAGTTCCATTCCTTGTGTGACCCCAAGCGTTGAAAATTAACAGTACCGTACTSTACTGTACGACGTCACAATTACAGTACGTACTCGTTCTTAGTTCCGCTCACTTTCTGATTCTGAACCAGTACGTATCGTACGAACGAAAAATGGGATAGATAAAAACGTCGTGAAAAAGCTTTTCGTCACACAATCTTCCAATATGCTTTCGTAGTATTCCATGGAGGCATGTCTGTTCTTTCCCGCAGTAGACCCATTCGATGGGGAATTTTAAGCGCAGGAAAAATTTCYTCCGACTATGCAAAGGCAGTTGCAGTGACGGAGGGATCGAAAGTGGCAGCGGTAGCTGCACGGTCGTTGGCTAACGCTGAGTCCTTTGCAGAAAAGCATGGCATTTCCAAAGCGTACGGGACTTATGAAGAGTTGCTACGGGATGATTCTATCGACGTTGTTTACATTGGATCTATTGCCAATCARCATTATCCTCTGGCGATGCAATCTCTTCTGGCGAAGAAACCTACTGTCGTCGAAAAACCTCTGACTCTGAGCTATCAAGATACAAATTCACTCGTCTCGTTAGCGAAACAGCAAAATACTTTTTTGATGGAAGGTTTGTGGACCCGCTGTTTTCCTGCTATGAGAAAAGTTCAATCCTTGATCCAGCAAGGCACAATCGGTCAAATATCAACTATTCAAGCCGATTTTGGGTGGTCTACGAAAGATTGTGGGCCTGAAGATCGTATATGGGCCCCAGAAAGTGGGGGGATGATACTGGATATCGGCATGTACATGGTTCAGCTTGGGCAGGTAGGATTTTCGGGATCTCCACCTTCCCGCGTTCAGGCTATGGGGAACTTTCGCAATGGTGTCGACCACACGGTTTTGACAAATATTCAGTATGGTTCTTCTGGGTTTTTGCAGTTTATCGTGACAGGTGATGCCAATACGGARGAGCGAGTCGTCGTTCAAGGTACGAAAGGAAGAATTATTTTGGAACCTCCTGCCCACGTTCCAACTGTTGTCAAGTTGCAGGCCGATGCCGGGCGTGGCGTGATCGAAGAAGASGTCTTCGAATTTCCCTTGCCAGACGACTCTTATACCACCTGGAACTATCCTGGCAGCATTGGATTTACGCATCAAATCCAATCTGTTACAGATTCGCTGATCAACGGCGAAAAAGAATGTCAATACTTTACTCATCAAGATAGTCTGGAAGTGGCTTCTGTCGTGGACCAAATTTTGCAACAGGTTCATAACCAACAAAAAGAGTAGCAGCAAGTCTCTGACCCGGACGAAGACGAATTCGCAATATCATTGTATTCGCAAAATATTTGTTAACGGAGCAAAGATGATTCAAGTCAACGTAATACTTTCACCATTGGCGGTTGGTATGTTGAACTTAAAATTCTACGCTCTTTTTAAGTCTGTTGTTCAAATGTTTCATTTCTTTCGAAGAATATTCCAGCGACACGGATTACTAATGCTCAGCTCTAGTTTTGATGCATTATTCGTTATATAGTACGTCAAGTACTTGCTCATGCTTGCTCCAGCAACAGCTCGGCATCACCATCGGCATCTTCGACAAGATTGAAGGCCGTCACGATGCCGTTGTCGACAATCATAGAAAAGCGGGCCGATCGGTGTCCCAGCGAGRCCACCGTGTAGTCTTGCTCCAGCTCGTTCGATCGCGCCCACGCACCGTCCACGTCGGCCAAAAAGGAAATCTTGTCRAAGTCGTTTCCCATCGTCTTRCCCCAATTGTAGTGAGCGTAGGGGTCCGCAACCGAATAGCACACGAGCTTGTCGACCCCCTTGGCCACAAATTTGTCCTGGAGTTTTTGGTAGGGGGGATAATGGGCCGTTGTGCACGTTCCGGTGAACGGGGCGGGGACCCCGAAGATGGCCACTTTTTTGCCTTGGAACAATTCGGGCATGGTTACGGCGTTATCATCTGCAAGGTTGGAATCCGAATCGTTCATGTGCTACACGTTGTAKTGGAAGAACRCATTCCATCAATCGGGTTGTGCATGCGCGTAGTATTGGTTGGCCAAAAAACAGTATAACAGGTGTGAGTGGGATGGAATCGAACGGACGAGGAGAAGATCTTTGATCTGCGGAGGTCAGTCCTACACCGTAGGGTGCATCCAACTCCCCTATCGCCTTTTTCTTACCCAAGGCCGCGCTTTTTGAAGSGTGGTTTCATTTTTAGTGAGGTCCGTGCCGATCGAAATGTCTCTCCTCGTGGTGGCAGATGTTCCCTTCCACTGGCKTCCAGTACGAATGGCGGACAAAGGACGGGAAAGGGCCGATCGCAATAAAGGCTTCGACGTTTGACTTGCGATAGCAGATATCATCATTGCCACTTTGATTACTCCTGTGGCTGTTTTGTTCTTGGTTTGCTGCTTGTTGCTTGGTATTTACTTCTGTTCTTGAAATACTTTCTCCTGTCGATTACTCTCGGATTGTACAGTATTGCTTTTTTGACGTTGAAAGACTATGTTGATTCGACACGCAATGTGCGAAGCCTTAAAGAATAAATAATCCTATTGACTAGATAAATTAGAAAAGTCTGAGATCAATCAGAAAACCCTTGGGATTCTGTTGATTCTTCACACCTTTGATGAGAGGCATCTTACCTCGATATGTATTTTATGCATTTCGTTATTTTGGTGGATGTGCGCGCGAACGTCTGTCCTCCAACACACTCCTCGTTGCGGTTTTGTGCGGGTAGGTCTCCATGATTCATCGTGTAGAATTCCTACTGCATGAGACCGCAGCGCTTCATTGGGTACATGATTCACTCGCTACTAGCTGCTCTCGCCTTCTTTGCACCAAAGTATGCTTGCTTATACTTGATACAGTCTTCATTGCTGATCCCTTGGATAGTATTCCTGAACTTAACAAACTTGCTCCCTTGCAGAGGCTTGGTGAAATAGTCGGCGATGATATCATCAGTCGGGCAGTACTCCACCGTCACCTCCCCCTTCTTAATGCGGTCGGTCACGAAGAAGTATCGAATATTGATGTGTTTGGTCCTCCGAGTGCTGGACCTTTGTCCGTTCCTTTCGAGCTTGATGGCGCTTTCATTATCCTGGTATATGACATGGGTGTTCCCTAGCGTCGGTCCCCTTGGGCCATGCTCATTCTGTCGTCCGTCGGCGATGTTGTCAGTCATGTGCTGTTGCTGGGCTTCCAGGAAGTATCTCGCCCATAGGATGAAAGTCATGTTATCATCAACACCCACGACTTCGGCCTCAGTTGAGCTCTTTGTGTTCAGCTTTTGCTTGGTGCACGTCGTGATAGCTGCTCCATTTCCGAACGTCATTACACCGCCGGAGTGACTCTTCATGTCATTGTGTACAGCAAACGCGGCATCCACGTGCCAGTACACGTGTCCGGTTCCATCCCATCCAAGAACTAGTGGAATATATGGCGACGATATCAGGTAGCTCATTACTCTTTTGAGTTTCCTCCAATCATCCTCATCTGGCTCGGAGACCCTTGTGCATAGGAAAGCAACTGCAGTCTGTATGTCTGGCCGTGCTCTCTTAGCCATGAAAAGCAGTTTTGCTACATAATGGTGAAACTTGTCGGCCCTCTCCATGTCCAGTTTTATACCGTCTTCATTCACCTTGAACAGATGATCCGCCGCTGGTGTGTTTGCTGTTCCTCGCAGGCTGTCGGGAAGGTTCTGTATGATCTCCTCGAGGTAGTCGAACATGCTGAACTTGACTTTTCCAGGGTCACTGTAATCAATGGTCATGCCTACATAATCATGTATCTTTCCACGTGTCTCTGTTAGTGGAGACTCCTTCCCAAACTCACCGTTAAGCCGCTCTATGATCTTTGTCACCACTCCTGCATCGCAGTGTGATATCTTCAAATCATCAACGTGCCATACGATCGTGCATTGCTTGCCATTGATCATCTTGTTCACGTTGCAAGGGTCATATGGGTTTAGTTCAAAGCCCCACTCCTCAAGCTGTCCGTACAGCTTCTCCCAGAACAGCAGTGCTGCTCTCAATGTGCCATATATTGCCTTTTCAGCTTTTGTGAACAGTGTCTTTTTTCCATTCCTGTTTACCAAGTACTTTCTATACATCTTTGGGTTTACTCTGCAGAGAAGCTCAGCCATGGTTCCATCAAGCCTGATGTAAACATCTTCCCCTTCCGGCATTGGGGTCTGTAGGAAAGCCCCTGGGATATCTGCTGTCGCTACGTCTCTTTCCTCGATAGCGTCGATTACACACGACAGTACGAGGGCATATAATGACACTGTTGGCGATGCTGCATCTTCCTTTCTTATGTACTCTCGTTGTCTCCGCCCATCGGCACACCCTCGACCCTTGATTGATGTGTCCCTCTTCCTCTTTAGGAACATCAAATATGGTAAGGCTTGTTCCTTTATCTCAGCTGTCAGCTTTCCCGGATGAATCGCTGACACAACATTCCGGTCGTGCAACTGTTTCAGTTCTTTTAGGACTGCATTCACTCCTGCATCACCAAATCGTCTGATCCCTTCCTTGATTCCGTACTGTTTTGTTGCTTGTGTTGCCTCTAGATTGTTGTAATTGGCTATTGCATTGGTAGTTTGCTGACAGAGATGCTCCACCGCCCTCACGTATCCAGCTGTAAAGAATGATCTGCTGTGTGTTGTAGCTTCATAACCATCATCCTCACCGTATTTATTGTGTGATCGCGTCACTTGTTTCCGCAGCCGAGAGCTCACTGGCTCCTCCTCTGTATCTTCCACACGGTCGGCTGGGTCGGCTGTCGTCACTTCATCTTCCGTCGCTGTCTCCACTGTCTCCCTGGTCTCGCCATCCGTCAGGCCTGTCTCCTCCTCATCTGCAGGTCTGGTTGTGGCTTGCTCGGTTCTATCATCAGTCCCTGCTGGGTCCTCGTGAGTGACCCTCTCTGCTCTCAGTCCCTGTTCCTCCTCGGCGTCAATCCCTTCCTCATCCACATACTCATCCAGCTCAGTTTCCACGGACGCATCGTCCTTTCCCGGCGGCCTGTATGTTGCATCAGATGCATCATCATCATCGGTGTTCACTCCTCCGGGACTGTCATCAAGGTCCAGGATGGTTGTATTTCCTTCTGCATCACCAAAGCACACCCCGCTGGGCATCTTATCGGCCTCCCCAATTCTCGTAACCTTCTCAATCAGTGTTTTAGTTAGCGGGGTTGCCGTCGCTGATTTTCGGTGTATGCGCTTTGCACTGTTGATGACAAAAGCATAGTAGCCTCCGGTGACTAGGCCCGTTGGCCTCAGATACAGCGCGTCCACCGCTCGTGGCCTCATCGTGTTATCTGTATCATCCACATGGGCAAGTATGGGCTCCATGAATTGGAATTTACAGTCCTGCTTGGCATCCAAGCATACCCCTGTCATGATTTCGCGTATCGACTTGGTCCGATGGACCCCTGTGGTTCTGCAGTTGAGCCAGTACACTGCTGTGTATATTAGCTCAATGATGCACCGTTTTGGTAGCTTCTTGAAAGGTAGGTGGTTCACGTAGCATCTCACGCTTTCTTTTAGTGTCCTGTTGCTTCGCTCTATTGTAGGCTCGTGTTGACCGGCCGCAACACACTGCAGCATAACTGGTGGGGACATCCGCAGTAGATCGTCCCGCAAACACTGGAATTGGTTATCCCCGCTTATTTGTGTTACAGTGAAACCTCTTGCTCTGTATTGGCCTACCAGACTTTCAATGCATTCTAACATTGTGCTCTGTCTTGCATTCGTGATGGCCCTTGCTGTTCTGAACCTCAAATGTCTCGAGATCGAGTGAAAGAACAGTACACCATTAACTGTTAGGATATCTATGTGCACCAGCACCAGCACCTCACCGTACCGGTCCAGTATATCTGGTGGTACTGGTGACACATCCTCCCGTATGTGTTCGCCAGTCCGTCGTACGGTCTTCCCTTTCACAATACTAACATGCTTTCCATATATGATCTCCGCATTTTGGATGTCTCGCCTGGTTACCCCACAGTTGTGCACCAGCTTGTTTTCGATCATGTTGATTAGGTCCTTCGAGGTTGGAAAACCCATGATCTCCTGCAGCTTCCTGGCCTTCATTGCCCGTCGGCAGTCCAGGTCAGAGAACTCGGACTGTGTTCCTTCTACTGATGTTATGGTGAGTGTAATTCCTTGATGTTTCCTGATGTCACAGTAGTACAAATTGCACTTGGATCGGCCAAAGCGGCGTGTTCCCCCTCCTGGCTTATGCACATGCAAAGCATTGTCGCAGTCGGTATCCATGGTGACTCTGAATTGCTCAGACACGAGTGCTAGTGACAACACGTTTGCGATCCCCTGTTCATAGAACCAAACCTCCCCAAAGCCTGGGAGGTCTGCAATCAGATTGGTGTGTGCCACTCCTGAGTTGCAATGTATATGCATCACCTGTGAACGTGGTGCTCGCCTTATGTTCTTCACTATGTGTGGATTTACTACCAGGTTGCACGATGATTCACTGTCCAGGAGTATCCAATTTGGGTTGATTCGCCCAGGGCCTTCGTTTGTACCATGTTGTGCAAAGAAGCGTTCCACGTGGTCGCTATATGTGAATACAATGTCATTAGCTTCCCTGCATGTATTTACAGCTGAGGGTGTTGCTTCCTGTGTTGTCGTGGTGCAACATTGGAAGAAAGAGTGTTCCCCATGGACATGGTACTCATCACCAAAGCTCTCGTTATTCTCAATTGCCTGCAGGAGGAGCTGGTGGCTGTTCAGGTATGTATCATCACCCTCCTCTTCATTAGTTGGCTCCACGTTAAGCTCCCTGTTCTCCTCATCGTGGTCATTGTGATGTACCACATCGGCCCTCGTTACGAATGCGGTTGCTTCCTGATGAGTTTTCGGTCTGTTGGCCTTGTGCTTACTGACCCCCGCACTCTTATTCCCGCCTTTGCGGCTTCCTTTGAAGTGGCTTACCATGTGCCGTGCCTCCGTCACTGTCGCTGGATATCCATTATAGCCCATGCTGAATTGGTCCTCCAATCTCTCCTTGAGCTTGCTGTTTTCTTCGGCACTCCCCTCAACAATTATGGTGGCCAATAGCCGCTGTTTCACTGCCTGGTCAATAACCTGCTTGGTGCGGCTTCCTTCTGACAGGTCCTTATATTCGGTATACGTGAGTTTGTTGTGCTGGTCCTTGTTTGTCTCCAGCTCATACTTGATAAGTGCTGGGCATGTCATGCCTCCGGCGATTGCCTCCAGTACCTCGTACTGTTGGATAATGCCTTGGATATATGTGGTCCCATCCTGCTCCCGTTGTCGCGAGCACATGAGCTTCCGGATACATCGTATGACATTGGTTGGTGTATATGCCTTGGTCTGGTTTCCTTGATAACATACATCTCGCAGTAGGGCTAACAGCTCTATTGGACAGGCTATGTCATTGATGTGTTCCCATTTTTCACTGCCCTTGAGCTTCTCCTGCATCCCTTCGTCGAGTTGTCCAAGGGCCACTACATACAGCTTCTCCATGTCGGAGGTGTACAGTCCGAACTTTTTCACCGACTCTTTGATCTCTTCATCGTACATCCTGGTGAGCGCTGTCTTGATTCCTGTTACCTCCTTATTCCCAACTGTCCAATCATCTGGGTTTGGTTCTCTTGGCATGAAGTCTACCCTTGTAAATCTCCGCATTAGCTCTATTGATTTCCCAACTTTGGGCATATATTTTGATCCACCAAGGGTTCGTAATCTTCGTTGTAGTTCCTTGAACTGTGCGAGGTTTCCTTCTTCGGTGACGACAATCCCTTTGAGGTCACCTCGGCAGTGTCCAGTGAACTTCTTTGTGCTTGCATCGGTGTTCCTCCTTGTTGAGCTCTGGTTCGATGAACTCTTGCTCTTTTGCTTGCTCCATGTTTCTCCATCCTTTGTTGTGGTTAGATTGTGTTCATCCTTAACCTGTTTCTTCGATGCATTGTTTGTAATCTCTTGTTCGTTTAGTTGATCCATCTTGTGGTGTTGGGTCGACTTGTCGTCCCTGTGTTTGCTCTCCTTGGATCGCTTTGAGTGTGGGCCCTTGGGTCCGCGTTATACAGCTCTGTTGGTCCTTTTAACAGGGCTGCAGTGTTAGTAGTGATACTGATACTTTTCTAATTTATGTTGATTCGACACGCAATGTGCGAAGCCTTAAAGAATAAATAATCCTATTGACTAGATAAATTAGAAAAGTCTGAGATCAATCAGAAAACCCTTGGGATTCTGTTGATTCTTCACACCTTTGATGAGAGGCATCTTACCTCGATATGTATTTTATGCATTTCGTTATTTTGGTGGATGTGCGCGCGAACGTCTGTCCTCCAACAGACTAGATGACGAGAAGAAGAATTTCTAACCAAAAAAGTGCTGTCAATAAACCTGAAAACAGCTGTTCACATCGCCTTCGTATCGTACCGTACGCACTGTACAGTACCGTAGGGGAATGAAAGATTCCTTGCGTGGGGCCTTGTGGAATTTGTTTCTCTATCCATTTTAAATGTTCGCTATGCATCGTACTACAGCACCGCAACGTACGTAAYGCTTTTTACTTGCTCCGGTATCCATACAAAAATGATATCCTGTGAACAATTGTACTACGAGTACGTACACTCGTACGTACATACCGTGATGACGGACGCAGCACGGCGTACGTACGATGCGGTATGGCATGAATCGCGCGATACTATTTTGGACAAACGTGACTTACACGGGACTGACGTGTTCTTCCGACAAAGTAAAAAAATCATCTGGTTCAGATTCACGTCAGCATTACAACTTCTTCATTCAGACCAAGTCGTACACATGCTWTTGTTGGTTGTGTCCGCATTGAGGCTTCACTGATGATTGGATCTTGTTTCGTTTCACTTCACCTCGAATTGTGTCTCTGAGTGGAAGTAATTCTGCTGATGCGAGTGGCATATGCTGTCAAAACAATATACGGCAGTCTTTTTGCCAATTCAACTTATCTTCCCCMTTGGATATTAGTGTGCTGAAGATATCCACTTGCGCAATCTCATACAACACGACAAGCGCTTTCTTGACACAAACCAATCAAATAGACACGACTCCGTCAGAAAACTCCAAACTTGACACAACTAGATTACTTCACAACAATCAACACTGCAGGACAATATYGGCTTCAGCTCTATAGCATCGACGATATCCTTTCTCTGAACTTGCAGCATTCTCTTCTGCTCACAAATCCACAATTCGCAACCCTAAACAATCACAAAAATCACAAAAATTCAACCCCGCAACGCTAACCAAACATTATAACTTTTTGAAAATGAAATTTGGAACCGCATACATCGCTCTCGCCTGCGTCTTGGCCACCAACCACAATGGAGTCGCCGCATTTTCTATCCGACCAAGCGCTCGGTCGACGACCCCAAGTTCAATCGCCTTTAACAAGAACTCAGTTCCACGACAGTCGATGGCGCTCAACACCTCTGTGGAGTCCTCCTCGACARCYGACCAAGACGACGAGATCRCGCGCCTCAAAGCCATGGCGCAGAAATTGCGCTCGGAGGCCGCTTCCCTCGAGGCCGAGCAGGCCGAAGAACGCGCCAACATCGCAAAAATGGCGTTCGAAAAGTTCGACGACAACTCCGACGGAAAGATCTCGAAGGAAGAGTTGAAGGCAGGACTGGAGAACTCCCTCAAAACTGAGATCAGCGAGGAACGCGTSCAGAAACTCATGGACAAGTTCGACATTAGTGGGGACGGATACCTCCAGCTGGAAGAAATGGTTTCCGTCGACCAGTTCAGAAATCAACTGGAGGCCTTTGCGAGAGAAGAAAAGCAATTGGCACGAGATGCGATTGTCGAAGCTCAGAAAGAAGAAGAGGCCGCGCGAATGGCCGAAGCAAGACTGGCTCTCTTAAATGACAAGGAACCTACCCAAACGGACAAAATCGTCAGTGTTTTGCCATATTTGTTCCCACTATTGGACAGCCTTCAATTCGGCCGGTTCTTAATCCTGGACAACCCCGAAAATCCACTCTTTTTTKYCCTGGCTTTATTGTATRCAGCTTACAGGACTATTCCGTTTTCTGGATTTCTCGCATTCATAGCCCTGAACACCTTGTCGAATAATCCGGGCCTGAACAAATTGGTACGGTTYAACATGCAACAGGCCATCTTCATCGACATTGCCCTCTTCTTCCCTGGTCTAATTGCAGCCTTGGTCGGAGGATTGGGAGGGATGGCTGGAATCCAGATCCCAGCCGCTGTCAATCAGGCCGGCTCGACGGCCATATTTGGGGCCCTCTTGTTGGTTGTTACATACGCTTCGATAAGTTCCCTGCTAGGCATCAAGCCCGATAAGATCCCTCTGATATCCAAGGCTGTCGAAGATCGAATGCCTACCATCGACATGTTTGATGATGCTGGACGTTTCATTCCTAGAAACGAAAGGCAAGAAAAAGACGATGAAGGCGAGAAGAAAAACTAGAAAACACTGAAACGTTCGATGCAGCAGACAATGATACTGGGTCATAACAACAAAGTAGAACTCCAAAGCGAACTCTGTAAAATAAAATAAATCATCAATTACACGAAGTAGATGTTCCTTTCTCCCAGTAATATTATTCGTGGTTTCTTTGATTTCATCAATCGACACTATCCAATTCACAGTTTGCAATGCGTTGATTGGGAACTCTTGAACAAGTTTCTTTAATCCTCATGGTGACATTTTTCTGAATTTAATCAAAGTTGGTATTACTCAATCACATAATATCTTTACTCTGCTGGTCGATACGAAGTTCGATTACCTCATACAGCATTTCCGTGCTGTTTTCATCACTACTCGTCCTGCTGTGCACAACGCTAGACTTGCATTGTTTTTTGAAAAGTCGTTTTGCTTATGGAAAGAATTAAGAGCGCCATGGATTTCCGTATTACTAAATGGAAAAACTTCAAAAAACTACATTAATCTATACGACTACAGTACTTCGTGATTTTGAGCAGTTGGTACCCAAGTACGCATTTGGACTTCCAACCGCAGTTCCGTACGGAACGTCAAATTCGAAAAAAGGGATCGATAATGAGAGACGGTTTTAAGGAATCACGCAACATCTTGTGTGACAGGTTTTTTCGTATTATTTTGGGGCAGTGTTCATCAGGAAAAATTGGCTATTACACTCGAACTGCAAACAACCGCTATCTACTATTTTACTCGTAAATACTACTGAGGCATAAGTATTGTGCTAGAATCAGTTCAAATTTTATATTGTTACAAGCGCGATCATAGTGACCAATCATCCTGCCACAASGACGAAATTTAAAAATTGGCATTAGGAGAATTCAGATTCGTAGAGATCTCGTAGAGACAGATTTTCTGGCATGATCTACTCTATCGATAGCGCAAGTGGCTAACGGTACGAGTACGGAATCAAAAACGTTTACTTGATCCCAGATATTTTCGATGGTCTTGGATTAGGTTCGTAGTGGATGCAAGTTCCTGCTTCAATCTGCTTCTCAAAGKTACAAATCCCTAACATAATTCGGGAGTCTCCATTATTCGGCATTATCAATTGATAGCTTCCAAATATCAGGACAGATTCTTTGTTACATTGACAGAATAGTAATCCAGGACTACCAAGAAACTCAAGACACTTCAAAAGCTGGCCGATTACAAGAGGAAAATTCTGCTGTGAAAGTTCCCCTGCAGCACCCCTATCTTCCATTTTTACATGCCTACTCATTCAGCGCACTTGCTGAACCATATTCATTATGCAGTYCCAGTCGASTGAAAAACAAAAATATCGGCTCAGCAGAGTCGAAGACAATGATCTGCCGCCGTCAAAGCGTTTCAAGTCGACAGGCGTWGAGTTTGTCTTACGGAAACTAACCTACCATAAGGACAAGATGGACACCAATGACGAAATCCACGAGAGCATTGAACTTTGTCCTGTCACGARGGCACTCGTTGACACAGAAGTATTTCAGCGGCTGCGAAACATACGTCAATTGGGAAACGCCGAATTCATTTATGCATGCGCCAATCACAATCGGTTCCAGGTGAGTTTTTCTGAAGCAACAGAKTAATTCGAYGATAACTCGGGATGTGCAAACCGAGAATACAACGCATTCTTSGAAATTRCTTATAATTTTTATGTTGYCATTCTATCCAAAACAGCATTCTCTCGGAGTTGCGTTCTTGGCCGAGAAAATGTGTAAAACAATCAAGGAGGAACAACCGGAGCTGGGAGCAACTGATAAGGATGTTCTTTGTGTGAAGTTGGCAGGATTGCTACATGACATTGGTCACGGTCCATACTCTCACACTTATGAGGGATTTCGAGATCATTATCTTCCTAAATTTTTAGAGGCCAATCCCGATTTGAAAGAAGAGTACAGCGACTGCGAACATTTGCAACCCATTCCCCAATGGAGTCATGAGCAATCATCCCTTCTTTTTATCGATGCTGCCTTGGAAGAACTCGGGTTGATGATCGACATGAACAATTTGGATAAACCTTTGAAACAGATTGGAAACGGCATTGATGCGAATTCAATGCGAGTATTCAAACCTCGCAAACTCGAAGATTCGGTGCTAACAAGTCGTGATTTCGTCTTTATCAAGGTAGGTTCTCAAGTAAAACACTAGAGAGAATATGCTAGAGCAATGGTTTTACTAACAATGCTCTTTCTGTTCATCCATACTTGAAGGAATGCATATTTGGAAAGCCTCTGAACGGCCTAAATAGTTTTGTTGGCAGGCAGCAAAAACAGCTTGAGTGGCTTTATGATATTGTCAGCAACCGACACAATGGACTTGACGTAGATAAGATTGATTATTTTGCAAGAGATCACACTCGCGCGATGGGTAAACGGGGTATCTTCATGAAAATGATCACCGATGCACGCGTTGCTTTAGGAAGGTGYAGTCGACCAGAAAAGTGCCCTACGTGCAAAGGCAAAGATGAACCAGATATGCATTATATGATTTGTTACCCCGAGAAGCACATAGTGACTACGATGCATTTTTTCCAACAGCGCTTGTTCCTCCATAATTTTGTTTACCAACACAAAACAACGGCAGCAGTAGAAAGCATGATTTGTGACATTCTATGYCTTGCTGATCCTTATCTTCGACTAGAATCTCACTCTGGTGAGAAATTTCCCATGAGTCGAGCTTACATCAAGAGCGAATTCTTATTGCGACTCGACGATAGCATTCTTACACTTATAGCGCATTCCACAGACGAAAGATTGACAGAAGCACGAGCTTTGTGCCGGAGATTCAAACGACGCGACTTCTACAAGTGTGCGGTCGATTTAACGCTAGATATAAATCGATCAATTGCCGACATCGAAGACCTAGAAGGAGAGGAGTTGGAAAAGGCCAAGAATAGCCAGCGAGATACTGCTGTGTGGAAAATGAGCGAAACCGAAATCCACTCCGGTATTCTCCAGGAGAGGATGTTTTGGATAGAACAAAATAGCAGCGATTCCACTGCAAAATTAGAAGCGAAAGATTTCATCGTGAAAAAGTTTTGCATGCATCACGGAGCTGGTAGCCAGAATCCCCTCTTACGTATGCGTTTTTACGACAAAATGAGCGAGGAGAAAATATTCGGTCCGATTGAAGAACTACCGGTTGCCGAACAAGTAAAAGAGTGCAAACACAGTTCATTTGTTCCCATYGAAAATCRAAAGGTTGGSATTCGCGTGTTGGTTCGAGAACAATGCAAACGAGACATTGTCAATCAGTTCTTYCACCAATGGTATGGTAATCGAATAAAGAACGAGGATGCACCCGATCAATGCGGAGATAGCACTTGCGGTTTGGAGGTCGACGAAGATGGTGAACACGACGATTGGAATGGTCAGGAGCCGCGGAGCAACGAACCCGTYTGGCTTTCTCAAGACRTTGATAGTGCCGAAGAYACCGACGATGAGAACAACTACAGGATGCGCGACATGAGTGATATGAGTCCAGTCCCAGTTCGAACACGCCGGTAAAGATTCAACTTTGCAGATAGCAGTCTTCGGTGCAATTACGTGACAYAATTGTTTCATTCTATTCTGCAACGTGTCAGCTCTTACAGAATCGGTGAAAAAAAACTGGTTCAATTGAACGCTCTTGCAACGAGTGGACCAAAATATTGCACTTCGGATATATTCGGAATTTGCTTGTCATGTTTAATGCGCTTTGAGAGTTGGACAAGCTAATATGATATTGTGTATAAGTATATTCAATTTCTATTAKTCGGACACTAAGCTTTGTTGCATCCTCAAACACTGTGAAATTGAAAACTKTATATACTATTTCTCATTTTACAAAATACTTCGTAACAAGCAAGAAAGATCTGCTCTGTTTCCGCTTTACTCTATAGCAGCAAGCGTAGCCTTCCGCATTTACAGCGAAGGAGAGTAGGCTTTTTATTCACTCMAGAAAGCTACATGAGATTATCTTGTAGAAGTAC